ATCTATCTATCTATCTATCTATCTATCTATCTATCTATCTATCTATCTATCTATCTATCTATCTATCTATCTATCTATCTATCTATCTATCTATCTATCCATCTATCCATCCATCCATCCATCTATCCATCCATCTATCTACCCATCTAATCTATCTATCTATCTATCTATCCATCTAATCTATCTATCTAACTATCTAACTATCTATCTATCTATCTATCTATCTATCTATCCATCCATCCATCTATCCATCCATCCATCTATCCATCCATCCATCCATCCATCCATCCATCCCTCCCTCCCTCCCTCCATCCATCCATCCATCCCTCCATCCATCCATCCTTCCCTCCATCCATACATCCTTCCCTCCATCGATCCATCCATCCATCCTGCCTGCCTGCCTGCCTCCTTCCTGCCTGCCAGCCTGCCAGCCTGCCTGCCAGCCTGCCTGCCTGCCTGCCTGCCTGCCTGCCTACCTACCTACCTACCTACCTACCTATCTATCTATCTATCCATCTATCCATCTATCCATCTATCCATCCATCCATCTATCTACCCATCTAATCTATCTATCCATCCATCCATCCATCTATCCATCCATCTATCTACCCATCTAATCTATCTATCTATCTATCCATCTAATATATTTATCTAACTATCTATCTATCTATCTATCTATCTATCTATCTATCTATCTATCTATCTATCTATCTATCTATCTATCTATCTATCTATCTATCTATCTATATATCTATCTATCTATCTATCTATCTATCTATCTATCTATCTATCTATATATCTATCTATCTATCTATCTATCTATCTATCTATCTATCTATCTATCTATCTATCTATCTATCTATCTAATCTGTCTGTCTGTCTGTCTGTCTGTCTGTCTGTCTGTCTATCTAGCTAGCTAGCTAGCTAGCTATTCATCAATCCAACTATCCACCCATCCAATTATACATCCATCCATTCAACTGTACATCCCGCAATCCCTAGCTGCACTCATCTCTCTTTGTGTGTTTATGTTTGTGGCGTTGCCATAGCAATATAATGACGAAATCGAATTGAATGGACCGTGTGTTATTTTAACCTCAATGCTTTAAGGTCACCAACGATTGGCAGTTGGACAGAAATAGGTATTTCCAAATTATACAGCTCTCTTTGGAATTCCATTTAAAAAATGAGAAGTGTGTGTCTCCACTTCTGAAATGCATTGTTCCTTTTGTGAAGCCGTGGTAAACAAGCATTATAAGTGGTGCACAGTATAGCGATGTTGGGAGACCCTTGTGAGGCGATCAATCACACGGCTGTACTGTACATCCCAGGCATTTGGATAAGTCAAGGGAGGAAGTTCTACTTATTTGAATGACACAATCACCATCTCATGCATCGCACGTGCTTTGGTTGTCAAGGATCATGTGCAAATAATACAAATGATGTATTTGTAAACCACTGCTGTGTATTAGAGTAGAGATTGAGTTACTGAAGGGCCATTGTTGTGTGTGAGAATAGAGATTGAGTTACTGAAGGGTCATTGTTGTGTGTTAGAATAGAGATCGAGTTACTGAAGGGTCATTGTTGTGTGTTAGAATAGAGATTGAGTTACTGAAGGGTCATTGTTGTGTGTGAGAATAGAGATTGAGTTACTGAAGGGTCATTGTTGTGTGTGAGAATAGAGATTGAGTTAGGGTCATTGTTGTGTGTGAGAATAGAGATTGAGTTACTGAAGGGTCATTGTTGTGTGTGAGAATAGAGATTGAGTTACTGAAGGGTCATTGTTGTGTGTGAGAATAGAGATTGAGTTACTGAAGGGTCATTGTTGTGTGTTAGAATAGAGATTGAGTTACTGAAGGGTTATTGTTGTGTGTGAGAATAGAGATTGAGTTACTGAAGGGTCATTGTTATGTGTGAGAATAGAGATTGAGTTACTGAAGGGTCATTGTTGTGTGTTAGAGTAGAGATTGAGTTACTGAAGGGTCATTGTTTATGGTTAGTGGATTGATTTAATGCGGCAAGACTGTCATCTCAGGTGTCATAAGTACACAACGTGTCAAAGCTTGAATGCCAATAAAACAAAATGTGGGTTCAAATAAGTATTTTCTATTTATTTAATAAAGTTGAACTTCTCCTCCTGCACGAAAATAATATTTCTATAAAAACCATTAGAGCTCTCTAATGTCTTTGTCTTTTTTTAATGCAACTTTTTCTTTTGAAATTCATTTAGCTTTCATTTAAGTTCAAATGGCGTTTTTAGATGAGTTGTTGTTTTTCATTATTAAAATGTTTCAAACAGGGGCGTGGAATGTGGGGTGCGGAGAGGATGGTCCGCCCCGGGGGTCCCTTTTTCTCTATACGGAGGGGCGGCAGTTTACGGTAATTCTCTAGGGTTGGAAAATGACAGTCAGCCCCAGGCGGCACACTAGCTGAGCAACTGGTTTAATAATGAAGTGAGCCACTGACCTAGGCCCCAGGCCTACTAGTCGCCAACAAGTCAGATCAATCAGAGATGGGAATCGAACCGAACCGGAACAGAATACACCGAACTGGAACCCCGCTGACGACCGAACCGAACCCGAACTTCAACGTCACTGACTACGAGCCGAACTTCAACGTCACTGACTACGAGCCGAACTTCAACGTCACTGACTACGAGCCGAACTTCAACGTCATTGACTACGAGCCGAACTTCAACGTCACTGACTATGAGCCGAACTTCAACGTCACTGACTACGAGCCGAACTTCAACGTCACTGACTATGAGCCGAACTTCAACGTCACTGACTATGAGCCGAACTTCAAAGTCACTGACTACGAGCCGAACTTCAACGTCACTGACTACGAACCGAACCAAACGAACCAATGGCAAACTTTTTAAAACAGAAAATGTTTGACGAATGCTAATATTTTAATTAAAACTTTATATACGCCCATGTGCGAATTGTATCCTTCAAAAACAACTATCTAGAATTATTTAATAAACCGGGTGCATTTTTTTCTAATAGGGTCCGGGTATTTTGAGAAATAGGCGTACAGACAGTCCTACAGACAGTCCTACAGACAGTCCTACGTCTTACACGTGGCTCTTTATGAAATTTTTTACCCGCGTTCACACGTCACGCCTGACATCCTTTTTACACGCTGTACTGTTTCGGAACACACCAGAAGCAATATATATATACAGTGGAGACCCGCTATAACGCGCCCCGCTATAACGCGCCCCGCTATAACGCGAATTCGGCATGGCTCCCGAAATTTGAAATTCATTTACTCCATCAGGCCTAATTTCTTTGAAAATTTTATCCATTGCTTGGAAAGCCATTTTTTAAAGCGAAAAAAAAAATCACAACTTTTCAAAATATCGTCGAAAATGAACCCTTAAACGCACCACGTTTAAACTAGTATCAAAACTATGGATGAACTGCATGCCACGACGGCACAGTAGCATACGGTGTTGATACAACGTTAAATATTGTAAAACCGCACATTAAAGCAACCCCGCTTTAACGCGATCCGATTTGATGGACCCCGAGCATCGCGTTATAGCGGGGTTCCACTGTATATATATATATATATATATATGTGTGTGTGTGTATGTGTATGTGTATATATATATTATATATATATAAGAGATTGTAATAAGCATTGTGTAAGAAAAATCTCAGTGAAAATTCTAGATAGAGAAAATGGATAAGCCATTTCTAATCGTCCTTTCAATAAGAATAAAACTTGGAACACAATAAAATGTTATGTTGGCCTTTTTTTTTTCCATTGAAGTTTAACGACCCACGTGACCCACGCGTGTATTATAGTACATAATTCACTGTGCACTAGAAAATAAACGTTCGATCATGAAAGACAATTTATTTTCTTCTTTTTAATGCATTTCTTTATTTAGGCTTATCGGCTTATGTTTATGAAAACGTAATATATATGCTGTTTAAATTGAAATCAAACCAGCAAACGCATTTCAAATTGCCCTCAATTAATTGTGTCGAACCTAACCCGAACTTGTAAGAGAGCAAGAGGGTTCGATTGCCATCTCTCTTTCAACTACCAGATCACCCGGAATCCATGAAACGTCAACAAATTCTTAACTTTAACACGTTCAATCAAAGGAAGGGTGATATGTTGGACGTGTGCACAGACCATGCCAGACAGAGGTCCCCCACCCCGGGGCTGATCGTCTCAGTCCACCAGCACTTGTAGTGTGTTGTAAGACTATGACCGTCTTTCACCAGCCACCACTTTCTGATTGTACAATTCTTTAACGAGGCGAAAAGTGTAACAATGACGTAGGCCTTCCCCCCCCCCCTCCCCCTCTCGCCTATAAAACGCGTGCCGTGAGCTGAGTGCTAGCAGATCAAGACGCGCCGGGTTTCCACACACGTCCACGTCCCACGAGAGTTTGATGTGATTCGCCTTGCAGGACTGGACTGATAACATTCGATTTAGGGACTTGGTTTTATTTAGCTCTTGGTGGCATGGATTTGTCCACAAGATAAGAGCAGGGGAATAGCGTGACATAAGCCTATCAGACCCACATACCAGTCGTTGCATTGGGAAAAAGGGTAAGCTATTTACTATTTTTAACACCCGTTAAATTTTTCTAAAACATTTTGTCGTTTAGCTTTGTGTTTATTATTATAGGATATTATAGAACAATCAACTTAAATTCAGATGCATAGATATACTTATAATTGATATTTAAGGCCTCGTCTACAGAGTGCGCCAAATAGTGTGTATGCCAAATAGTGTGTATGCCCTACTCACTCTAGGAAAAGAAAAACACGTAGCCTAAAAATATTTTACTGCTATTTTTTAAAGATACGAATATGGGTCAGAAGGAAGATCATGCACAACAATTTGAAGGAATAAGGCATGTGCAAATAACAATAAGAAGAAATACCACAACAAACAAATAGTGCATACACGTTTATTTGTATGAATGTATGTGTAACAATGCCGGCCTTTAGGGTGTGCGACCTGTGCACTCGCACAGGGTGCCGGCCGTGGTCATAGGATCGCCTGGGGCGCCCAGTAAATATTTAAATTCCCGTAGTTCATTATAGTGAAGTGTGAACCTGAGTCCTGGGGCGAGAAACGGTATTCTAACTTTTGGTACAATCGCTTTTCCGTCCAAATTAATGTGCATGTTAGAATACGTATATTTAGCTACATGTATGGCATCATAACAAGTGCTTCATAGCCTACATCGTAATCGGAAAAAGAGCGGAGCCATACATGGAAGGGGCGCCGAACGTGTGCTTCAAACGGGTGCTTCGCACAGGGCGTAAGTTTGGCCAAGGCTACCTTGCCTTGCTCTACCTTGCTCTACTATCTCATGAATAATAAACTCTCCATAAAAATTCGGACTTTAGTGAACTTTGTTTAGGTGGCCCTTTGTTTACGTGGCCCCTTTGTTTACGTGGCCCTTTGTTTACAGACCCTTTCTTTGGAAACAATCTGTCAATCTCCCAACTCAGCTTCTAGAAAAAATTGTCATGATCAGCCCATGATAAACAACACTACACTCAAACACTTCCAGTTAGGAAGACTTGAACACTTCAAATTAGGAAGACTTGATCACTTCCACTTAGGATGACTTGAACATTTTCAGTTAGGATGACTTGAACACTTCCAGTTAGGATGACTTGAACACTTCCACTTAGGATGACTTGAAAACTTCTAGTTAGGAAGACTAGATCACTTCCAGTTGGGAAGACTAGAACACTTCCAATTAGTATTACTAGATCACTTCCAGTTAGGATGACTAGAACACTTCCGGTTAGGAAGACTAGAACACTTCCAGTTAGGAAGACTAGATCACTTCCAGTTAGGATGACTAGAACACTTCCGGTTAGGAAGACTAGAACACTTCCAGTTAGGAAGACTAGAACACTTCCAGTTAGGAAGACTAGAACACTTCCAGTTAGGAAGACTTGAACACTTCCAGTTAGGATGACTTGAACACTTCCAGTTAGGAAGACTAGAACACTTCCAGTTAGGATGACTTGAACACTTCCAGTTAGGAAGACTAGAGCACTTCCAGTTATGAAGACTAGAACACTTCCAGTTGGGAAGACTAGAACACTTCCAGTTAGGAAGACTTGAACACTTCCAGTTAGGATGACTTGAACACTTCCAGTTAGGATGACTTGAACACTTCCAGTTAGGAAGACTTGAACACTTCCAGTTAGGATGACTTGAACACTTCCAGTTAGGAAGACTAGAACACTTCCAGTTAGGAAGACTAGAACACTTCCAGTTAGGAAGACTTGAACACTTCCAGTTAGGATGACTTGAACACTTCCAGTTAGGAAGACTTGAACACTTCCAGTTAGGATGACTTGAACACTTCCAGTTAGGAAGACTAGAACACTTCCAGTTAGGAAGACTAGAACACTTCCAGTTAGGAAGACTAGAACACTTCCAGTTAGGAAGACTAGAACACTTCCAGTTAGGAAGACTAGAACACTTCCAGTTAGGAAGACTAGAACACTTCCAGTTAGGAAGACTAGAACACTTCCAGTTAGGAAGACTAGAACACTTCCAGTTAGGAAGACTAGAACACTTCCAGTTAGGAAGACTAGAACACTTCCAGTTAGGAAGACTAGAACACTTCCAGTTAGGAAGACTAGAACACTTCCAGTTAGGAAGACTAGAACACTTCCAGTTAGGAAGACTAGAACACTTCCAGTTAGGAAGACTAGAACACTTCCAGTTAGGAAGACTAGAACACTTCCAGTTAGGAAGACTAGAACACTTCCAGTTAGGAAGACTAGAACACTTCCAGTTAGGAAGACTAGAACACTTCCAGTTAGGAAGACTAGAACACTTCCAGTTAGGAAGACTAGAACACTTCCAGTTAGGAAGACTAGAACACTTCCAGTTAGGAAGACTAGAACACTTCCAGTTAGGAAGACTAGAACACTTCCAGTTAGGAAGACTAGAACACTTCCAGTTAGGAAGACTAGAACACTTCCAGTTAGGAAGACTAGAACACTTCCAGTTAGGAAGACTAGAACACTTCCAGTTAGGAAGACTAGAACACTTCCAGTTAGGAAGACTAGAACACTTCCAGTTAGGAAGACTAGAACACTTCCAGTTAGGAAGACTTGAACACTTCCAGTTAGGAAGACTAGAACACTTCCAGTTAGGAAGACTTGAACACTTCCAGTTAGGAAGACTAGAACACTTCCAGTTAGGAAGACTAGAACACTTCCAGTTAGGAAGACTAGAACACTTCCAGTTAGGAAGACTAGAACACTTCCAGTTAGGAAGACTTGAACACTTCCAGTTAGGAAGACTAGAACACTTCCAGTTAGGAAGACTTGAACACTTCCAGTTAGGATGACTTGAACACTTCCAGTTAGGATGACTAGAACACTTCCAGTTGGGAAGACTAGAACACTTCCAGTTAGGATTACTAGATCACTTCCAGTTAGGATGACTAGAACACTTCCGGTTAGGAAGACTAGATCACTTCCAGTTAGGAAGACTTGAACACTTCCAATTAGGAAGACTAGAGCACTTCCAGTTAGGAAGACTAGATCACTTCCAGTTAGGAAGACTAGATCACTTCCAGTTAGGAAGACTAGATCACTTCCAGTTAGAAAGACTAGAACACTTCCAGTTAGGAAGACTAGAACACTTCCAGTTAGGATGACTTGAACACTTCCAGTTAGGATGACTTGAACACTTCCAGTTAGGATGACTTGAACACTTCCAGTTAGGAAGACTTGAACATTTTCAGTTAGGAAGACTTGAACACTTCCAGTTAGGATGACTTGATCACTTCCAGTTAGGAAGACTTGAACACTTCCAGTTAGGATGACTTGAAAACTTCCAGTTAGGAAGACTTGAACACTTCCAGTTAGGATGACTTGAACACTTCCAGTTAGGAAGACTAGAACACTTCCAGTTAGGAAGACTAGAACACTTCCAGTTAGGAAGACTAGAACACTTCCAGTTAGGAAGACTAGAACACTTCCAGTTAGGAAGACTAGAACACTTCCAGTTAGGAAGACTTGAACACTTCCAGTTAGGAAGACTAGAACACTTCCAGTTAGGAAGACTTGAACACTTCCAGTTAGGATGACTTGAACACTTCCAGTTAGGATGACTAGAACACTTCCAGTTGGGAAGACTAGAACACTTCCAGTTAGGATTACTAGATCACTTCCAGTTAGGATGACTAGAACACTTCCGGTTAGGAAGACTAGATCACTTCCAGTTAGGAAGACTTGAACACTTCCAATTAGGAAGACTAGAGCACTTCCAGTTAGGAAGACTAGATCACTTCCAGTTAGGAAGACTAGATCACTTCCAGTTAGGAAGACTAGATCACTTCCAGTTAGAAAGACTAGAACACTTCCAGTTAGGAAGACTAGAACACTTCCAGTTAGGATGACTTGAACACTTCCAGTTAGGATGACTTGAACACTTCCAGTTAGGATGACTTGAACACTTCCAGTTAGGAAGACTTGAACATTTTCAGTTAGGAAGACTTGAACACTTCCAGTTAGGATGACTTGATCACTTCCAGTTAGGAAGACTTGAACACTTCCAGTTAGGATGACTTGAAAACTTCCAGTTAGGAAGACTTGAACACTTCCAGTTAGGATGACTTGAACACTTCCAGTTAGGATGACTAGAACACTTCCAGTTAGGAAGACTTGAACATTTTCAGTTAGGAAGACTTGAACACTTCCAGTTAGGATGACTTGATCACTTCCAGTTAGGAAGACTTGAACACTTCCAGTTAGGATGACTTGAAAACTTCCAGTTAGGAAGACTTGAACACTTCCAGTTAGGATGACTTGAACACTTCCAGTTAGGATGACTTGAACACTTCCAGTTAGGAAGACTTGAACACTTCCAGTTAGGATGACTTGATCACTTCCAGTTAGGATGACTAGAAAACTTCCAGTTAGGAAGACTTGAACACTTCCAGTTAGGAAGACTTGAACACTTCCAGTTATGAAGACTAGAACACTTCCAGTTAGGATGACTTGAACACTTCCAGTTATGAAGACTAGAACACTTCCAGTTAGGATGACTTGAACACTTCCAGTTATGAAGACTAGAACATTTCCAGTTAGGAAGACTAGAACACTTCCAGTTAGGAAGACTTGAAAACTTCCAGTTAGGAAGACTTGAACACTTCCAGTTAGGAAGACTTGAACACTTCCAGTTATGAAGACTAGAACACTTCCAGTTAGGATGACTTGAACACTTCCAGTTATGAAGACTAGAACATTTCCAGTTAGGAAGACTAGAACACTTCCAGTTAGGAAGACTTGAAAACTTCCAGTTAGGAAGACTTGAACACTTCCAGTTAGGAAGACTTGAACACTTCCAGTTATGAAGACTAGAACACTTCCAGTTAGGATGACTTGAACACTTCCAGTTATGAAGACTAGAACATTTCCAGTTAGGAAGACTAGAACACTTCCAGTTAGGAAGACTTGAACATTTCCAGTTAGGATGACTAGAACACTTCCAGTTGGGAAGACTTGAACACTTCCAGTTGGGAAGACTTGAACACTTCCAGTTAGGAAAACTAGAACACTTCCAGCTAGGATGACTAGAACACTTCAGTTGGGAAGACTAGATCACTTCAGTTGGGAAGACTAGAACACTTCCAGTTGGGAAGACTAGATCACTTCCAGTTAGGAAGACTAGAACACTTCCAGTTAGGATGACTTGAACACTTCCAGTTAGGAAGACTAGATCACTTCCAGTTGGGAAGACTAGAACACTTCCAATTAGTATTACTAGATCACTTCCAGTTAGGATGACTAGAACACTTCCGGTTAGGAAGACTAGAACACTTCCAGTTAGGAAGACTAGAACACTTCCGGTTAGGAAGACTAGATCACTTCCAGTTAGGAAGACTTGAACACTTCCAATTAGGAAGACTAGAGCACTTCCAGTTGGGAAGACTAGAACACTTCCAGTTAGGATGACTAGAACACTTCCAGTTAGGAAGACTAGAACACTTCCAATTAGGAAGACTAGAGCACTTCCAGTTATTAAGACTAGAACACTTCCAGTTAGGAAGACTAGAGCACTTCCAGTTAGGAAGACTAGATCACTTCCAGTTAGGAAGACTAGATCACTTCCAGTTAGGAAGACTAGATCACTTCCAGTTAGGATGACTTGAACACTTCCAGTTAGGAAGACTAGAACACTTCCAATTAGGAAGACTAGATCACTTCCAATTAGGAAGACTAGATCACTTCCAGTTGGGAAGACTAGATCACTTCCAGTTAGGATGACTTGAACACTTCCAGTTAGGAAGACTAGATCACTTCCAGCTAGGATGACTAGAACACTTCCAGTTAGGATTACTAGATCACTTCCAGTTAGGATGACTAGAACACTTCCGGTTAGGAAGACTAGAACACTTCCAGTTAGGAAGACTAGAACACTTCCAGTTAGGATTACTAGATCACTTCCAGTTAGGATGACTAGAACACTTCCGGTTAGGAAGACTAGATCACTTCCAGTTAGGAAGACTTGAACACTTCCAGTTATGAAGACTAGAACACTTCCAGTTAGGATGACTTGAACACTTCCAGTTATGAAGACTAGAACACTTCCAGTTAGGATGACTTGAACACTTCCAGTTATGAAGACTAGAACATTTCCAGTTAGGAAGACTAGAACACTTCCAGTTAGGAAGACTTGAAAACTTCCAGTTAGGAAGACTTGAACACTTCCAGTTAGGAAGACTTGAACACTTCCAGTTATGAAGACTAGAACACTTCCAGTTAGGATGACTTGAACACTTCCAGTTATGAAGACTAGAACATTTCCAGTTAGGAAGACTAGAACACTTCCAGTTAGGAAGACTTGAACACTTCCAGTTAGGAAGACTAGATCACTTCCAGTTAGGAAGACTAGATCACTTCCAGTTAGGAAGACTAGATCACTTCCAGTTAGGAAGACTAGATCACTTCCAGTTAGGAAGACTAGATCACTTCCAGTTAGGAAGACTAGATCACTTCCAGTTAGGAAGACTAGATCACTTCCAGTTAGGAAGACTAGATCACTTCCAGTTAGGAAGACTAGATCACTTCCAGTTAGGAAGACTAGATCACTTCCAGTTAGGAAGACTAGATCACTTCCAGTTAGGAAGACTAGATCACTTCCAGTTAGGAAGACTAGATCACTTCCAGTTAGGAAGACTAGATCACTTCCAGTTAGGAAGACTAGATCACTTCCAGTTAGGAAGACTAGATCACTTCCAGTTAGGAAGACTAGATCACTTCCAGTTAGGAAGACTAGATCACTTCCAGTTAGGAAGACTAGATCACTTCCAGTTAGGAAGACTAGATCACTTCCAGTTAGGAAGACTAGATCACTTCCAGTTAGGAAGACTAGATCACTTCCAGTTAGGAAGACTAGATCACTTCCAGTTAGGAAGACTAGATCACTTCCAGTTAGGATGACTTGAACACTTCCAGTTAGGTTGACTTGAACACTTCCAGTTGGGATGACTAGATCACTTCCAGTTAGGTTGACTTGAACACTTCCAGTTAGGATGACTAGAACACTTCCAGTTAGGATGACTTGAACACTTCCAGTTAGGATGACTTGAACACTTCCAGTTAGGAAGACTAGAACACTTCCAGTTAGGAAGACTAGAACACTTCCAGTTAGGAAGACTAGAACACTTCCAGTTAGGATGACTTGAACACTTCCAGTTAGGATGACTTGAACACTTCCAGTTAGGATGACTTGAACACTTCCAGTTAGGAAGACTAGAACACTTCCAGTTATGAAGACTAGAACACTTCCAGTTAGGAAGACTAGAACACTTCCAGTTAGGAAGACTAGAACACTTCCAGTTAGGAAGACTTGAACACTTCCAGTTAGGATGACTTGAACCATTCCAGTTAGGATTACTAGATCACTTCCAGTTAGGATGACTAGAACACTTCTAGTTAGGAAGACTTGAACACTTCCAGTTAGGAAGACTAGAACACTTCCAGTTAGGAAGACTAGATCACTTCCAGTTAGGAAGACTAGAACACTTCCAATTAGGAAGACTAGAGCACTTCCAGTTAAGAAGACTAGATCACTTCCAGTTAGGAAGACTAGATCACTTCCAGTTAGGAAGACTAGATCACTTCCAGTTAGGAAGACTAGATCACTTCCAGTTAGGATGACTTGAACACTTCCAGTTAGGTTGACTTGAACACTTCCAGTTGGGATGACTAGATCACTTCAAGTTAGGTTGACTTGAACACTTCCAGTTAGGATGACTAGAACACTTCCAGTTAGGAAGACTTGAACACTTCCAGTCAGGATGACTTGATCACTTCCACTTAGGATGACTTGAACATTTTCAGTTAGGAAGACTTGAACACTTCCAGTTAGGATGACTTGAACACTTCCAGTTAGGATGACTTGATCACTTCCAGTTAGGAAGACTAGAACACTTCCAGTTATGAAGACTTGAACACTTCCAGTTATGAAGACTTGAACACTTCCAGTTAGGAAGACTAGAACACTTCCAGTTAGGAAGACTAGAACACTTCCAGTTAGGAAGACTTGAACACTTCCAGTTAGGATGACTTGAACCATTCCAGTTAGGATTACTAGATCACTTCCAGTTAGGATTACTAGATCACTTCCAGTTAGGATGACTAGAACACTTCCGGTTAGGAAGACTAGAACACTTCCAGTTAGGAAGACTAGAACACTTCCGGTTAGGAAGACTAGATCACTTCCAGTTAGGAAGACTAGAACACTTCCGGTTAGGAAGACTAGATCACTTCCAGTTAGGAAGACTAGAACACTTCCAGTTAGGAAGACTAGATCACTTCCAGTTAGGAAGACTAGATCACTTCCAGTTAGGAAGACTAGATCACTTCCAGTTAGGATGACTTCAACACTTCTAGTTAGGAAGACTTGAACACTTCCAGTTAGGAAGACTTGAACACTTCCGGTTAGGATGACTTGAACACTTCCAGTTAGGATGACTAGAACACTTCCAGTTTGAAAGACTAGGACACTTCCAGTTAGGAAGACTAGATCACTTCCAGTTGGGAAGACTAGAACACTTCCAGTTGGGAAGACTAGAACACTTCCAGTTGGGAAGACTAGATCACTTCCAGTTGGGAAGACTAGAACACTTCCAGTTAGGATTACTAGATCACTTCCAGTTAGGATGACTAGAACACTTCCAGTTAGGATGACTAGAACACTTCCGGTTAGGAAGACTAGAACACTTCCGGTTAGGAAGACTAGAACACTTCCAGTTAGGAAGACTAGAACACTTCCAGTTAGGATTACTAGATCACTTCCAGTTAGGATGACTAGAACACTTCCGGTTAGGATTACTAGATCACTTCCAGTTAGGATGACTAGAACACTTCCAGTTAGGATTACTAGATCACTTCCAGTTAGGATGACTAGAACACTTCCGGTTAGGAAGACTAGAACACTTCCAGTTAGGAAGACTAGAACACTTCCAGTTAGGATTACTAGATCACTTCCAGTTAGGATGACTAGAACACTTCCGGTTAGGAAGACTAGATCACTTCCAGTTAGGAAGACTAGAACACTTCCAATTAGGAAGACTAGAGCACTTCCAGTTAGGAAGACTAGATCACTTCCAGTTAGGAAGACTAGATCACTTCCAGTTAGGAAGACTAGATCACTTCCAGTTAGGATGACTTGAACACTTCTAGTTAGGAAGACTTGAACACTTCCAGTTAGGAAGACTAGAACACTTCCAGTTATGAAGACTAGATCACTTCCAGTTAGGTTGACTTGAACACTTCCAGTTAGGATGACTAGAACACTTCCAGTTAGGAAGACTAGAACACTTCCGGTTAGGAAGACTTGAACACTTCCGATTAGGATGACTAGAACACTTTAGTTTGGAAGAACACTTCCAGTAGAGACCGACCGAAAGTGATTTTCTGATTTCTGCAGAAGCCGAAAATAGGCGGAAAGTTTAAAATGACTTTCGGCCGAAACCGAAAAATACCGAAAGTTTAAAAATGACTTTCAGCCAAAACCGAAAAAATACAAAAAATGACTTTCGGAAAATGAAATATTTAGATATTTTGAAATTAATTCCCGCATACATTCTGCATACATCAAAAATGATGGGAGAAAGTATAAACATTTGCATTCTTTTTATAAAAAATGAGATAATTGTGAATATTAATAAATAAACATCTAATATAACATCTTGTTGTTAAAGATCGTTTAGTTTGTTCTTAAAGATCGCTTAGTTTGTTGCTAAAGATCGTTCAGTTTTTTGTTAATGATCGCTTTAATTGTTCTTAAAGATCGGTTAGTTTGTTCATAAAGATCGCTTAGTTTGTTCCTAAAGAACATTTAGTTTTCTGTTAAAGATCACTTAGTTTATTCTTATAAATCATTTAGTTTACTATTAAAGATCATATTTTTGTTCTTAAAGATCACTTAGTTTATTCTTAAAAATCGCTTAGTTTGTTCTTAAAGATCGTTAGTTTTTTAATTAAAGATCGCTTTATTTGTTTTTAAAGATCACTTTGTTTTTAAAGATCATTTAGTTTGTTCTTAAAGATCGTTTAGTTTGTTCTTAAATGTCGCTTAGTTTGTTGTTAAATATCGCTTTTGCTGAGAATTAGATGACCGAAAACCTCAGTCACTTTCGGCCGGATGGCCAAATGGCCGAAAGTCTAAGTCAATTTCGGCTGAAACCGAAAAAAAAAGAAAGTTAACTTTTCTCTTTCGGCCGAAACCGAAACTTGGCCGAAAGTGATAAAATTGCCACTTTCGGCGCCGAAGCCGAAATTCGGTCGGTCTCTAACTTCCAGTTAGGAAGACTAGAAAAACTTGAACACTTAAATTAAGCGTTTTCAATAATGGTGAATGATGTGATGGTACAAAGTATACATGGTCTTACCCTTAGAGCTTAACAATCTTTTTGTTGGTTTCATGCAGATGCGTCTATCCACCTCACCCCCCACTTGAGTTGTTGAATCCAAAAACCTTTTCCCTTTCCTGGACCTTGGACCTGGTAAATTTTGTGTGTTTGTCATGTCAGTTATGGTGGTAAATTCTGTCTGTGGGTCATGTCAGTTATGGTGGTAAATTCTGTGTGTTTGTCATGTCAGTTATGGTGGTAAATTCTGTGTGTGGGTCATGTCAGTTGTGGTGGTAAATTCTGTGTGTGGATCATGTCAGTTGTGGTGGTAAATTCTGTGTGTGGGTCATGTCAGTTGTGGTGGTAAATTATGTGTGTGTCTGTGATCCTTTTCATAATATTTGTGTTTAATTCGGGAGGTCATTACAGTTGAAAATTCGATGATGATAGAGTACTTTTATAGCGCTTGTGTCAATGTTATTTTATTTGATAGAACATTTTTGACTATTCAATAATAATTATTATCCCCCCCCCTTTGCCCCAAACTCAGATTAGAAGCAAAAAGCTCCACCTCCCACCCCCGTGTATACGCCCCTTTTTATGGACTCTTTGGACCCATTCTTTAAGTTCAACTAAATTAAATGTAAATAAAACTCACGGATCCCTCCCCCTCCCTCCCCGTGTATACGCCCCTTTTTATGGACTCTTTGTCATTCTGTAAAATAAAGACCACGGACCCATTCTTTAAATTAAACTAAATTAAATGTCAATAAAACTCACGGATCCCCCCCCCTCCCTCCCGATACTTTGACCGCAGGTCCCTGGTCCAAAATAAGGTCAAGTGGATCAGTTGATAACGTGACCATCACATGACCATCACATGATCAATCACGTGTTTCACAGTTTCTCTATTGTCTCTCCGTTCTTACTTGAAATCTTCTGTTTACCCCATGCTCCTCCCACTCTTTTTACTGTCATTGTTATGTTACTCTTGTAGGGGTGCAAGACTTTGTCAAATCACTCCCAAGGGGCTTTCCGATATAGGACAGGTTGTATAAACCTTGTAACTAAAGATGAAACCGGTTTAACTTCTGCAGCTAGATGCAGTGCAGCACCGATGGCAATGCCGCACAATTATTGGGTGTAAAGGGGGACCAACAGTTATGTCTTATCTAGATAGGACCAACAATTAAGTCTTATCGATATGGAACCAACAATTAAGTCTTATCTAGATGGGACCAACAATTAAGTCTTATCTAGATGGGACCAACAATTAAGTCTTATCTAGATGGGACCAACAATTAAGTCTCATCTAGATGGGACCAACAAATAAGTCTTATCTAGATGGGACCAACAATCAAGTCTTATCTAGATGGGACCAACAATTAAGTCTTATCTAGATGGGGCCAACAATTATGTCTTATCTAGATGGGACCAACAAATAGGTCTTATCTAGATGGGATCAACAATCAAGTCTTATCTAGATGGGATCAACAATCAAGTCTTATCTAGATGGGACCAACAAATAGGTCTTATCTAGATGGGACCAACAAATAAGTCTTATCTAGATGGGACCAACAATCAAGTCTTATCTAGATGGGACCAACAATCAAGTCTTATCTAGATGGGACCAACAATCAAGTCTTATCTAGATGGGACCAACAATTAAGTCTTATCTAGATGGGACCAACAATTATGTCTTATCTAGATGGGACCAACAATTAAGTCTGATCTAGATGGGACCAACAATTAAGTCTCATCTAGATGGGACCAACAATTAAGTCTCATCTAGATGGGACCAACAATTATGTCTTATCTAGATGGGACCAACAATTAAGTCTGATCTAGATGGGACCAACAATTAAGTCTCATCTAGATGGGACCAACAATCATGTCTTATCAAGATGGGATTTACTCTGATTCAAGTAAAAGAACAAGGAAATAAAGTAAGTTGACGACAAGTAGCCATTCATATAAGGTTTTGCGTCCAGTTCCGCTGTGAAGACAAATCGACGGTGGTTCATCTGCCGAGTCCATGGACTAGTCAACCGTACCCTCTCTTCACAGCGGGAAAGCTAAGTTAGGGGTGAGTTCTGACTGACTCGCGATGAAGGGACAATGAATGATCTATTTAAAATACACACTCGTCTGCCAAAGTTACATTTCTCGTGATGTAATTTAAGAACTGACCCCCCTCGACCTTAGACCCGTATGCTCTGTCGCCTCGGTCTACTTCCTCTCGCAACTACGCAGTGAACAATCATCTTGTATAGCTACAGAAACCAGCTTTATGCCAAGTGCCCCGCTCTGTCTTTCATGTCATGGATCATAGTTTGTTTCTGACCTGGAATTGGCACACTTCCCGATATATAAATGTAACGGTCACAGGTGAACGATTTGATTCTTGTTGAATGTTGATACCCATTTTAACCTGTAGGCATCAGGCCTGACGATTATGTAACAGAGGTGATTTGTGCATCCGGGGTAGGCTACAGGCTGTTGTTGTAAAATGTAAAAGAAATGAATGATGATACAGGCTGTTGTTGTAAAATGTAAAAGAAATGAATGATGATACAGGCTGTGGTTGTAAAATGTAAAAGAAATGAATGATGATACAGGCTGTGGTTGTAAAATGTAAAAGAAATGAATGATGATACAGGCTGTTGTTGTAAAATGTAAAAGAAATGAATGATGATACAGGCTGTTGTTGTAAAAGGATTTTAATTTGCTGAGAAGCATTGGTTTCTTTGGAATTCAATTATCAATCAAACGTTAATCAAATCATCGTCCATTATGCAAATGTGGAATATAAACGTGTTATGTAAGATTTGAACTTGTCACAGGCCAACCTTATATGACATGTGGGGGAGGCCCTCACGAATATGTGATGAAGTGGTGTGGCGTCTAAAAGGTGTGACGTTGTGGGGAGTGGGGGTGTCGTCAACATTATCGTGACATCATCAATGGATTTCTCCCCCCCCCAACCCACCCCCAAATTAAGATAGTAAAACTCATGTACAAATCAATCGTATGTAAAGCTGAAGGCACCCATCATATTGCTGTACACAGCAAGGACGCTGAAGGCACCCAGCATATTGCTGTACACAGCAAGGACGCTGAAGGCACCCAGCATATTGCTGTACACAGCAAGGACGCTGAAGGCACCCAGCATATTGCTGTACANAAGGCACCCATCATATTGCTGTACACAGCAAGGACGCTGAAGGCACCCATCATATTGCTGTACACAGCAAGGACGCTGAAGGCACCCATCATATTGCTGTACACAGCAAGGACGCTGAAGGCACCCATCATATTGCTGTACACAGCAAGGACGCTGAAGGCACCCAGCATATTGCTGTACACAGCAAGGACGCTGAAGGCACCCAGCTTATTGCTGTACACAGCAAGGACGCTGAAGGCACCCAGCATATTGCTGTACACAGCAAGGACGCTGAAGGCACCCAGCATATTGCTGTACACAGCAAGGACGCTGAAGGCACCCAGCATATTGCTGTACACAGCAAGGACGTATTTGTAACTAACAATTTAGTTATCAGAACTGGTTGTTGTATTCAGGATCACGCCGATCTGTTTGTTGTATTCAGGATCACATTGATCTGTTTGTTGTATTCAGGATCACGCCGATCTGTTTGTTGTATTCGGTATCATGCCGATCTGTTTGTTGTATTCAGGATCACGTTGATCTGTTGTTGTATTCAGGATCACGTTGATCTGTTTGTTGTATTCAGGATCACATTGATCTGTTTGTTGTATTCAGGATCACGCCAATCTGTTTGTTGTATTCGGGATCATGCCAATCTGTTTCTTGTATTCAGGATCACGCCGATCTGTTTGTTGTATTCAGGATCACATTGATCTGTTTGTTGTATTCAGGATCATGCCGATCTTTTTGTTGTATTCAGGATCATGCTTATCTGTTTGTTGTATTCAGGATCATGCCGATCTGTTTGTTGTATTCAGGATCATGCCGATCTGTTTGTTGTATTCAGGATCATGCCGATCTGTTTGTTGTATTAAGAATCATGCCGATCTGTTTGTTGTATTCGGGATCATGCAGATCTGTTTGTTGTATTCGGGATCATGCCAATCTGTTTGTTGTATTCGGGATCATGCCGATCTGTTTGTTGTATTCAGGATCACGCCGATCTGTTTGTTGTATTCGGTATCATGCCGATTTGTTTGTTGTATTCAGAATCACGTTGATCTGTTGTTGTATTCAGGATCACGTTGATCTGTTTGTTGTATTCAGGATCACATTGATCTGTTTGTTGTATTCAGGATCACGCCAATCTGTTTGTTGTATTCGGGATCTGTTTGTTGTCTTCATGATCATGCTGATCTGTTTGTTGTATTCAGGATCATGCCGATCTGTTTGTTGTATTCAGGATCATGCTGATCTGTTTGTTGTATTTAGTATCATGCTGATCTGTTTGTTGTATTCGGGATCATGCAGATCTGTTTGTTGTATTCGGGATCATGCCAATCTGTTTGTTGTATTCGGGATCAGGCCGATCTGTTTGTTGTATTCAGGATCACATTGATCTGTGTGTTGTATTCAGGATCATGCAGATCTGTTTATTGTATTCAGGATCATGCCGATCTGTTTGTTGTATTCAGGATCATGCCGATCTGTTTGTTGTATTCGGGATCATGCCGATCTGTTTGTTGTATTCGGGATCATGCTGATCTGTTTGTTGTATTCAGGATCATGCCGATCTGTTTGTTGTATTCAGGATCATGCCGATCTGTTTGTTGTATTCGGGATCATGCCAATCTGTTTGTTGTATTCAGGATCAGGTTGATCTGTTTGTTGTATTCGGGATCATGCCAATCTGTTTGTTGTATTCAGGATCAGGTTGATCTGTTTGTTGTATTCAGGATCATGCCGATCTGTTTGTTGTATTCAGGATATGCCGATCTGTTTGTTTTATTCAGGATCATGCCGATCTGTTTGTTGTATTCGTGATCATGCCGATCTGTTTGTTGTATTCGGGATCATGCCGATCTGTTTGTTGTATTCAGGATCATGCCGATCTGTTTGTTGAATTCAGGATCACGGGGATCTGTTTGTTGTATTCAGGATAATGCCGAGGAAAATATCTTCCGCCCGGGGTGAAGCCTGAAAATAGCGCCCTTTAATATGTAGAAAACAGTGTCGGAAAAAGACGCTTTTGCGGAAAAAGACGCTTTTGCGCCCCTCTTCACTATCACGTTCCTAATACGGTGCCCCCCCCCCTTCTCTCAGCCCTATTTGTATGGCTAAGACCAGTGACGTAGCTATGGTTAGTGCCAAATCACTTCCAAGGCCACAATTTTTGCCTGCTAGATGGTCAGTAAAGGGGAGAAAAAAGTACTATAAAAAGTATTCAATAAATGTAAAGTGCAAATTCAATCAACTTAATGACTAAGACTCACAACAACACCCCCCTACCCCTTTCCCTTTTTGTCAAGTGTGGGTTATGTCTCATTTGTTTTTAGGTTTTATTGTACTGAGGTTTTTTCTGGTCGGCTGCTTCTCATTAGGGAACTATAGGCAGAAACACAGGTCCCCACTAGGGTGATTGCAAGAACCTTTGACGGCTATAATGATACAATATCTAACCAATTTGAACTAGTTCTTTCAGTGTCGGTTAAATGGCATATCTTAAAGTACATTTTCCTCTTTTTAGCATTGTTAACAGTGTCGAATGCCCACAAAAACAGGGGCTTAACTACTAGCCAAGGGGGCCCACAGGGTTACGAGAGTCAGTGCCAGGGATAAGTGTGGCGGTGCCAGGGATTAGTGTGGCGGTGCCAGGTATAAATGTGGCGGTGCCAGGGGTAAGTGTGGCGGTGCCAGGGGTAAGTGTGGCGGTGCCAGGGGTAACTGTGGCGGTGCCAAGGGTAACTGTGGCGGTGCCAGGGGTACGGGTGATGGTATTCTACATTTCAAAAAAATTTTTTTTATATAAATATCTTCTTGTCATCTTCAGTTTAGAAAAATCAGATGTATGTGCATTTTACTGAGCAGCAGATGCTTTTGTGGTGAATTTTATTTGCACATTATTTGTGCTGGGGAAATTATTTTTTACTTTCATCAAGTAAGGTAAAGATGGAGAACAACCATTTCTGAATTATTTTCATGTTTATTAATTTTATTACAATGCTTTTTATCCGGGAGGGAAATGCTTTGAATGAAATCGAGTAGTAGTTTGACAGTGCAAAAGTGTAAAAGCTCCTTCACTAAAAATGTCATGTCTGGATCAAACTCCTGGAATAGGAATGCACTTGATGCATTTGTCATACACTTGGGAAATATGGGATCCACTTGGGGAATGGATGTTCTGCTTGAGAAATAGGGATGACACTTGGACATGTGACATTTCTTTTGGGGAATAAAGGATTACACTTGTGGAAAATTATAATGGTATCATGAAAGACGTTTACTCGCCGTAAATGAATGATAAAATTGCCAGCGAGTAGAAAATGCTTAATTGTCCCAGTCAACATGGGCCCTATTATCTAACAATCTCTTATAGAGGCCCAATTAACTAACACTCTCTTAAAGAGGTCCAATTATCTAACACTCTTATAGAGGTCAAATTATCTAACACTCTCTTATAGTGGCCCAATTATCTAACAATCTCTTATCAGTCAGCTGGAGGAAGATAGCTCACTATATACCCCATTCAATATGGAAGTCAAAACTTTAAAGCATTTAAAGGTTTTAAAGCATTGTTTTTAAACTTACTTTATCGATTGACCTTTTGGTTTATGGTCGAAAGCATATAGAAACAAGGGCAGAACAAAATCCATTTTTCACATTTTCTTTTTAAAAGTAGTGATTCGGCCATGTTAAAGTGTCACAACCACTTTGCATTCAATTTTAAACTTATTTATTTCATATTTTGTATTGAATAGGCAGCAATCACCCACATGTGGGTACAACACATTTTAACTATATCTCATTATTGGCATTCAATGGCTCAGTCACCCACATATGTGGAGGATTTTAGTTTTTCATAGAGCAAATTAAGTTCCACGCTATTATTTATTATCAGTGGCGAAAAAAAAAGGTCCCTGCCACTCCCTAATCCAATGTTTCCGACCAGTTCTATAAGTTAAATTACCTGATCTGACCTGATTGCTCCCTGACCAATCCATTGTCCATTCATCTTTACCATTCATTCCTCCACTTGTCTCACTCATCATTACCATTCATTCCTCCACTTGTCTCACTCAGCATTACCATTCATTCCTCCACTTGTCTCACTCATCATTACCATTCATTCCTTCACTTGTCTCACTCATCATTACCATTCATTCCTCCACTTGTCTCCCTCATCATTACTGTTCATTGATTGGAATAGATCTGTCAAATATGTCATTGTTGGTTGGTGGCACTAAATATAACTTTAACTCTCTCCAAAAAAATAACATAGATTAATGTCCATCTTATCTCCCTTTTCTTCCTAAGATGCAATGATCTTAAATCTGTTTATTCCTTGTAATTTGTTGTATCATGTGTTTACCATTAACATATCCCAATAACATGTAATTGTTGTTCAATGTTTGTACCATATCCCAATAACATGTACTTGATGTTTCAATGTTTGTACCATATCCCAATAACATGTACTTGATGTTTGTATTGCGTTGTAATATACCCAAATCACATGTACTTGATGTGTGAATGAGTTGTACCATCCTCTAATTACATATAGTTGATCTTTGAATATGTTGTACCATCCACTCAGACAGAGCTTTCATTCTTTGTATTGACTAACATATCATGGAATATGATGGAAGCTTGACAGAAATATATCCTAGATTTTATGAGGGATAACTCCACATGTTTTATTGATTGTTTCAATCCATGATCATGTTTGTCATTATTTAGTCTAATCACTTGCCTGGCTGATTCAGATATTTAATGATGAGGCATACTTCAGATATATTAACATTATATCTGATACTTTGTAAACCATGTTATGAAAATGTATTCACTGTTATTTCATGTGCATGGTGCCTTTATTGTTCAAGGGCAATTCATTTTCTTTTTAAACTGTGTCATATAGGCCCCTATCTGTGTATCTTATTTATACAAATAAGATATTTACCCAAACAAGCGTAAATAATTTTAATTCTAATGAAGATATAATGATGGAAATAAATCTCCGTCTATCCATAATACATTGCAGTCGTTGTGTATGTCAATCTTATACACACAGAATCCAAATTTTATAAAGTAGCTTAAGGTACTCCTTGTATAACAATACAAATGTGGGGCACTTAATTTGATTTTTTTTTTAAGTTCCCATTTTTGGTGAAAGCTTTTAATAGAGATGAATGTATCAAATATTTACAAAGCTGCAGCACTCTACTATTTTGACCTGGCTGATACTATTTCTACCCGGCTGATTAATTTTCACATTTTCATCCAAAAAATAGAGAAATATTACTCTATATCAACGTAATTATGCTGTTAAACTTTGAAGCTTTTAAACTTCAATAAAATTACTATAAAAATAAATATCATTTATCAGCTGCATTAAAATAGGTGGACTTTTTGTGGGAATTACAAATTATATGACTTAACAAATAGAAGATTTTACTATTAAACAAAATCTATTTACTTGTTTTAATTTCCCTTGTTATAATTTATCTGGTCTAATATCTTTCGTTTTTTACAGGTTTCGAGAAACTTTTTATATTAACATCAACCACTGGATATACTACAAATAACACTTGATGCTCGTGTAAATACTGGCATAAAGTGACCAAAATGACGAAAGAGGATAATGCGGTGACTATGACAAAGTTGTCAAAGTTACCATCGGATGACAATGTAGATTCGATTTCTTCTAATGGACATGTCAAGGATGCCATCATCAATGGCAAACATGTCAAATACACCAATGCAGGTGAGATCCAGGATTCACCCGAGGATGCTAACGAGGGTAAACAAGGATGCTGTGGCCACAAAACACCTCAGGAAAAATCAGACATGGTAGGAGGAATGGAGCTGGTAAGTTTGTCAGTTTGTAGAGTTATGTCTATATATTTTCTTTTCAAAAAAAGCATCATGATAAATTTGGGAGTTGTGCGCACTGCCAATTTTAAAATCTAGGTATAGAATACATGAACACTGAATATTTCAGTTTTTAATAGAAATTTTCAAATGTTTTTTTTTCCTCCAGTTTAAATTTGCCAGGCACTTTGACAAAGTCCTCATGTTCTTTGGTACTCTTGGGGCTATTGGTCAAGGTGTTACCATCCCTATCAATTTAGCCATTTTTGGAGAGGTCATCAATGTATTTGTTGATGATAATAATAATTACAAGTAAGTTGTTGTTGTTGTTTTTTTTTTCAGGTGTTTCATCAACCCATTAATAGTTGTTTTTTTATAACTCAGTATTTCTTTGTATAAAAAAAATCTTAATCTGCTTTTTCTTCAAGTTCAACAAACTCAACTCAAGCTACAGAAAAACCCAAACTACAAGAAGAAATTCTACCGTACATCTATGCATTTATTGGTATTGGATGTGGGTCCTTTATCTGTAGTTTTGTTGCTGTGAGTTGCTGGTCATGGGCTGCGGAAAGACAGGTAAATTAAAATACATGGTTTTTATTTTTTTCTGGTCTGGATCAACTTGTATAGTTGCAGGGATAATATTAATTTTTTTTTAAAGACATTTCACTTAAATGGCATTGTATTGTTGTTGGTTTTTAAAGACCAATGAATTGGCTTACTATAACTTAAAGTGAAAGGAAACTATCATATTCACTGAAATCTTCGCCTTTTGGGTATTTTTAACTACTTTCAGGTGAGATTCTTCTAAAACAATTTGATGAAAGATTAAAGTATAAAGTTTTTTATTTAAATAATATGTCCTTATCCTTTTTTTTTTTTCATTATGTGACTGAATGATAATTTTAAATCGTTTAACTCTTTGAAAGGTAATAACTATGAGAAAAAAATTCTTCCATGCTGTCATGAGGCAGGATATTGGCTGGTTTGATGTACATGAGGCTGGTGAAATAAGTTCCAGGTTTTCAGAGTAAGTTTCAATATTAAAATATGTTTCCAGTTTTTAACAGTAAATTATTTTTATTTATGAAATCACTTGTAGTAATAATCATTTTCTAAACTATTGTCTGGGAGTTTTGGAATATGTTTAAGGCATTGAATTCAATATTTGAAAAGGATTCTCCAACTAACAAAAAGCATCTTGTATATATTTAATAGTTTTATGGTATTTTACAGGGATGTCAGCAAGATAGCAGATGGTATGGGGGACAAAATGGCTGTTTTCATTCAGTGGGTTTCAACATGGATAGCAGCTTATATAATGGCTCTGACCAGGTCATGGAAGCTTACCTTAGCTGTTATCATAATAAGTCCATTGCTTGTCCTTTCTGGTGCTCTCATTGTCAGGGTGAGAATCATTCCATTATAAATGTCTAGTTAAATTCAGTCTTTAATGCTTGAAACAATATAGTTCAATTTAATGGTGGTGCTCAAAATAACTTTTCTCTTTATATACTTTTGAGGCAAAAAAAATATTTAAATAGATAAATGAATTGCAAATCAGGAATTTTTTTTTTAAATCCTTTTTTTTTTTGTTGCATTTTTGGTTTTTTAATTTTTGGATTTAGGTGATGAGAAGAATGGCTAGCCAAGAAGCCAAGGCATATGCCCAAGCTGGTGCTGTAGCTGAACAAGCTCTCAGGTCAATTCGCACTGTGCAGGCCTTTCAAGGACAGGACAAGGAAATCACAAAGTAACTTTTTTTAACAGCAAAAACAGTCATGGTCTAAAAAAAGATGGCTGCTATAAATAACAAAGTATCTAACAAAGAATAAGGTTTTATAAATAATAGAAAATATTTATTTCCCTTTATTTGAATCACAAGCATATCATCATGCAATCACTTATGGGTAGGCTATTGCAGGTAAAATATTCAACTGCCATGTATATGATTCATAGTCAAGCCAACCCCTTTTTTCATTCTATGATAAACTATTTCATATAATGTAGGCTAGGCCTGCACAACTCAAAACATAAGGCGGGCCATAATACTTTATGAAAAACCTGTGCAGCCAAAGAAAACAGGACAGGACTTGTGCGGGCCTAAAGAAAATAGGATGAGGGGGAAAGCTATTAAGAAAATAATAAGAATAACGAATATTTCATTACTTTGCTGGCCACAAAGTGGGTGCTGGTGGGCCGTATGTTGTGCAAGTCTGATGTAGGCTTTCTCCTTAAAATTACATTGTAAAAAGGAAAATCAATTTTTTAAAATTTAATTTGATTCTATGGTAATTTTTAGTTAATAATTTTCATAAATAAATAAACTACTTTTTCAAATGCACAGATATTTTTTTAGCTTCAAACCTCATAAATATTTTCTTCAGCATGACAAAATTTTGTAAATTTAAAACAATAAAATAAATATTAATGATGAAATAAATATATATTAAATGTTGAAATAAAATAAATTTTCTCTTGTTGTAAAGACTCAGTGTCATGGATGTCTTTTCAGATATGAAGATAATCTAACACTAGCTGTCAAGGTTGCTACAAAGAAAGGTCTGGCTCTTGGCCTAGGAAACTCTTCCTTGTGGTTCCTGCTATTTATTATGTTTGCGGGAGTCATGTGGTTTGGTATTTACCTGATCCAAGAAGACACTTTACTTGCTGGCCGAATATTGCCTGTAAGATATCTATATATCCTTATGCATCAATTACTTATTTAATTTTAAAATTAATCATTATTATTGTTGATGCCCTGCATTTATAATGGGAAAAAAGGTATTATTGATGATTATGATTCTTGTTTCTTTAAATTTTTTTCTTAAGTTAAAAATTCGGTCAATTTTATTTAATTTTAGCAACTTTTATGATTTTGAACATTTTGTATTAAGTTTAAAATAATTAGTTTATAAATCTAGCTTTCATTACTATAATTGTATAATTTTTTTTCTTACTTATGGATAAATATATGGATAAAAGATTTTATTATTTTTATATATTTAAAAAAATTAAAACAGGTTTTCTTTGGTGTCATGATTGGATCATTTGCTTTAGGCAATGCATTCAGTAACCTTGAGAGTTTTTCTAATGCTCGTGGTGAAGCTGTCAAAGTTTTTGACATTATCTCCTTGGTACCAAAAATTGACTCATTTTCAGAGGAAGGTCTGAAGCTCCAATCTCTCAAAGCACAAATTGAATTTAAAAATATACAATTCTCATATCCAGCTCGGCCAGATATCCCAGTAAGTTATTAAAATTAATTTTTGCTTGCGTGTGACTATTTTTTTATTATTTTATTATTTTTTTACCAAATACATAAGTGCTCTAAATATAGATCTATATTCAACTCCTACAAAAAAAAAAAAAAAAATTTGCAAAATTATGTTTAACAATGTATGAATTTCGAAAGAAACCTTGTAGTGTGCAACTGAAATATATAATATGTAATGGTTTTGATAAATGCATTAACTGGTATTTCAAGTCCTGCTTCAGTTTTTGAGAACCATACTATTTCCCCTGAAGACTCTTAAGTTTTTCTAAGCTCCAGAAAATCACAAGGAATTTAGTTCCATAATTGGATTCGATTTGATCAATGAAATAAGCTGTTGATTCTCATTGACAGATACTAAAGAACTTAAACCTGAAGATAGAGCCTGGCCAGCATATAGCCTTGGTTGGTCCCAGTGGCTGTGGAAAATCTACCACTGTCCAACTTTTACAAAGGTTCTATGATCCAATCAAAGGAACTGTAAGTTTGTTTTTCTTTTGTCTAAATTTTAAAGGTTTAATTGTGTATGTAAGACAATTGTTTTTTAAAGTACTTACAAATGCATACATATCAGTCACTGTTAAAACTTACTTAACAATTTTTTTACTTGAAAAAAAAAAAATTATTATTAGTTTTCCTGCATCTTCATGAACATAATTTAGAAATAAACTTTTCATCAAAGAGTCAATCAAATTATAAAACTGAGGTAAAAATGTATTTTATATCTTAGGTTATGGTTGATGGCCATGACATCAAAACTTTGAACTTGAAATGGCTTCGAACTAATATTGGTGTTGTAAGCCAGGAGCCTTCTCTTTTTGATGCATCTATTGAGGAAAATATCAGATTTGGCAAGATGGATGCTACTGAAAAAGATATACAAGATGCAGCCAAGGAAGCTAATGCACATGACTTTATCATCCAGTTACCAGAGGTAAGAAAGTTTTAAAAAAGATTGGTTTATTACCCATTAAAATCAATGGATGCCATTAGAAAATGCATGGTTAAAGATTTATTTTATCACACCCATGTTTCAATAATGCAATGCCCAAAGTTTTTATTATCAATCTAAAAAATTATTTGACATGTGTTACTACTCTTATGTGAAGCTGGGACTCAATCTTTTTCATGTTAGCTTTATGAAAAACCATGAAATAATTTAAGGCTTGAAATTCATGAAAACATTTGAATTGTCATTTCAAATTTAACTTGATGTTTAGATAAAATGTTAATGTTACCAAAACCATTTTCAGGGCTACAAAACAAATGTTGGAGAAAGGGGTGCTCAGCTAAGTGGTGGACAGAAACAGAGAATTTCTATTGCTCGAGCGTTAGTCAGAAACCCAAAGATTCTCCTTCTTGATGAGGCCACTTCTGCTTTAGACCTAGAGAGTGAAGCCATAGTGCAAAATGCTTTGGAAAGGGTAAATTTATTGCGATCTGAAAATTTAATATTTGAGAAGTTTTAGCAATGGAAATCTTCATTATTAAATTAATTTAAAAGCACTACAGGATTTCTTGACACCGCAGTCCATGGCAGTAGAATGTAGATTAAATTGGGCCGGGGGGGAGGTGGGGTGTCAAACACCCTGGAAGGTTGAGAATAAAGTCCTTGCAGCATTTGTTAAATTTTTATTTTTTCTAAAACAGCTTCAACATGGAAGAACAACCATTACTATTGCCCATAGGCTGTCCACGGTTCAACATGCAGACATAATTATTGCAATTAGTGATGGAGAAGTAGTTGAACAAGGCACACACAGGCAACTGATGGAGGCTGAGGGACTGTACTATCAGTTGGTTCAGATTCAGGTAATAATGACTACACTTAAAAATGTAGCTATTAACAAACGTACAGAGGAACTTTTACAACAAACTAGGTATGAACATTTACAACAATTCTAGGTATGAAATTTCAAAATAACTCTAGTTATGAACTTTACAACAAATCTAGATATGAAATTTTACAACAACAAATCTAGATTTGAACTTTCGTAACTTCAGTTGTAAAGGGGTGAGAGCTGGAAATTCCAATTTTCAAAACAGTTCATTGTTTTGAATAGATCTTTAGATTATACATTGTTATTACAGTTTCTTGAACCCTTTTGATACCATGGTTTTCCATTTTTCCAGAATCCTGAGCTATTGGTTGTGGCATGTGTAAATGTTTGGGGGCAAAATTTAAGTATTACAACCACTTGTAATTATTATGAAAGTAAAAGTAAAGAATGTCTTTTCACTCGTGATGTAATGTATTCAGTACACATCCCATAAGTGCAGTATAGGGTAAAGGTTTCAAAAATGATCAGAAAAATCTATAGAGGATGCTATTGATAAGGAAAGAGCACAACAATTAAAAGCTTAGCTGTTTCAATCTTTTATATTTAGCATAAAGTATTGAAAAAATATTTTTTTAAATTTTAGTCAAAGATTCACAAGGAGTCACAAATGGGTAAGCACTCATTTTATTTATAAGTTTTTTTTCCACTATATAAACCATACATTTTGCTAGAGTAATTTTGATAACAACTTCACTGTCTGTCCTTCAAATATATATTAACAAAACATGTCCTATTTTCTGTGGCATAACTAAAACAAAATATATATTTAGATGGCTTACTTGGCTAGTACTTAAATGCAAATGTATAAGAAAAAATTAATAAGATCATTTAAAAAAACATTCAAATAAAATCTAGTCAATGAATATGCATAAAAAATGTGGGGGGGGGAGTAATTTTAGCTATCAAACCGTTTTGATCTGATATGGCTAAAAATAAAACTGTGGAGACCCATTAAAATGTTGCTTCCATTATCCTCATTAACAATTATGCTATTATTTTATCGTGAAGGCCTCACAGTTTTAATATAATAGTTTTGTGATAGCTGTAAAACATATTTGTTTCATCCTTTTAGTGTTTTTTTTATAAAACATTAAAAGTTTGAGGAAAAAAAATTATTTTCTTACTTTTCTAATAAAGAGTAAAGAGTTGCTGCTTTCTCCCCATTATAAGTGAAATCCAAGTCAATTCTCACAATTTTAAATATATTTAAAGGTTTGATTCTTCTCAGATGAATTTTAAATCTGATGACTTGGCTAATCTCAATTAAGACAGTTCTTATCTAATCAACTGTCATTGCCCTTTCAAAATATTCTACACATCTTTGCATAACCTTATTTTCATAAAACTTGTGTTTATTAATTGAAATTAAGTTATTGTCTTTTCAAAGAAATATTTTACATAGCTTTTAACTTCTTGGCGCTGTAATCTTTTTAAAAATAAAAAATGCACATTATGTATGATATAGGCCTATGCTGAAAATAAATATCCAGTATTTTAAAGTCTAGCAACTGCTATAATTTGTTTATCTTCACGTCTATCTTATGATTATAGAAAATATATTATTCAATCTGCACTTTTAAAAATCTCATTATTTGCAACAGAACATAGGAAAATATAAGAATCCCACTATATCCTGTCTTTTCAAATGTTTATCCCCAAGAAGTTTATTAGAATCACTATTTCAAAGGACCCGATTACGATCGCTTTTAAAGACTTACAATTAAAAAAATACGTCTTGTGGTTCAATGAGTTTTTTACCTTTTTTCAACAGTGGAATAGGTTGAACTGGTCAAATGTCTTTTAAATCTTATATATTAACTTTGCTTTTGTTTGTGAGAGGCTGACTGACTGGCTGGATGGCAAAATGTTTGGAAAGCTAATTGGCCCACTTCCCATCAAGCAAAGCAATCGAACTGAAACTTGGTACATAGAGATTAAAATTTTCAATGCCAACCCCCAAAAATCTGTTTTTCCTGTTCTTCAAGGGGAAGATAAAATGAAATTCCTGACACAAATTGGGATTCTTGTTTTGTCAAATTTTCAGTTCCAACCCAACTTTGCTTGATGTTACGTTTTAATTTACTGTGTAGTAGGTGACATTTTCTATGGGCTTTCAGATCCTAACCTGGATTAAAAAATGGAGTTGGTTATTGCTAAAACCCTTATATGTACTTTACTCCTTTAAAACTCTGGTCAACTATAATTAGCCACATCATTTTTAGAAGCTGTGGGGTTTTCTTTGTGTCTCATTTCTTTCAACTGATACTCCTATCTTGTTGCCAACCTTGCTCACTAAGTTGAAGTGGAGGAAGCTCTCAGTCTTTTGTCCCTTAGAAATGTGGACAGTTGTGATGCAGGTAAGGAGTCTTCTTCTGCTTTCATTGGTGTTTGGTGTCAATAGCCTGGTCAGCTTTTAGAGTACTCAAAAAGGTACTAAATTGCAAATAAATTTATAGATTCCCACTTTTCCTTCTGATATGTTGTCAAGTTGTATCAGCAATATAAGTGAGTCAAGTTGTATCAGCAATATAAGTGAACTAGAGTGTATTCTTAGGTTACTCAATTTTTCCCCCTCGATTTATATTCAATTTTGTTTTCATTTATTATTAGTTACAATTCTGACAAGAGTATTTGCATGACTTTAAAAAAAAAAATTTGGTTCCATTTTTGTTGGTGAAAAAGAATGCATTTTATTCAACTTGATACAATTTTAACTCAGTAAACATTGCTGCACAATTTTGGTTTTGTTTCATGGGTGATGGTTCTTGTAAATAGCTGATTACTAGATTCAAGAGATGATTTTAACAAAATTCCTCAGATGAGAAAAATTGTTTGTAAATAACTTTAATGTAACTGTTTAAAAACACTTCTTATGAATCAGGTCTTTTCCCTTCTTTCAGGCCTTTCTACCCTTACAGTCTAGTAATTTAGTTGCTTCAACCCTGATTTATAAAGTGCATAAATTAAATTCAATAGTGTTCAATAATAACATTCTCTGTTAAAACTATGGATCATAAACCATTCTTTACTAAGCTTTGGATCCCCCTCTAGAAAAGTAACAATGAATTTCAAATGACCTTGTTATTTTATTACATGAGGTAAAATGTAATTGAATAATTTTTTTAACATCTTAAAAGTCATATCATAACTTAAAAGCTAATTTGGCTATTGTTGAGTACAGTGCCCATGGCGGCATTTGCTTGTTTATTCAATATTTGTGCAAGAGTCATTCCCCTTTGTTTATTTGATTGTCGTAGGAAGTCCAGATGGTGTGTTTTGTATTAAAATTTTGATTGGTTGATTATTTATAATTTTAAATTATCATTGGTTGGCTAATTATCATATTTTATTTGCGCCACCATCTTTTCAACATGTTGGCCTAATGCCGGCAGTTGTGCTCCAATCATTTGTGCATTTTTTTTTATTTGGAACCTGCAAAAAAGTGTGTAAAAGTGTATTTCATGAAACTGTAAGTTGGGTTTTCATTATTTCTTTGTTTAGAATTATTTTTGGCTTCTTTTTTGCCATTTTTTGGGGGTTTTTGTTCATTTTCAAATTCCATGTGTTTTTTACGGCTGATTACTTGTGGCTTTAGGGTTTGGGTTAGGTTTATTTTATTTTTTTTTACATTGGAGAGGGATCACCCCTCCTCAGATAATTTATTTGTTTCTGATTTGGTATTTAAAGTGTTTTGCACTACATTTTGGCCGCCATCTTGGTTGACACTTCATGTGACTTCATGTGGAGCGTCAACTAAGATGGCGGCCATGATGGGAAACCCCGGGCATCGTCCTCAACATTTACCCCGCTAATTTCTTCTGTGTTCTTATACTCACTTTTCCTCACACCTCCTGAAATACTACCTCCATTTCCCTTGGTGGTTATTTTTTATTATTAAGCTTTAGAAAACTTATTCTATATAAAACGCAATTGCTTGGCAAAAATATCTGCTTCAAATTTGAAAAGTTGCAAGGCTATTTTTTTTACATTGTCAAATTACTTCTATTGTGTTGATAATTTTTTTAATTTTAAAGGTTACCCCTTATTTTAATTTAATTATACATTAGTTTCATAAGATGTTTTCAACAATGGCATCCTATTCTTTAGTTATCTTTTTATTAATGAATTTCATTAAATTTAAACACATATTTCATGGTTAGAGTTAAAATATTTTTTAATTATTATTATTAATTATTTTGTTTATTTTTCTGTTAATAATTGTCAAAGACAAAGAATATCATACAATCCTACAATGTGATTGTCTTGGTAAACATTACTACATCTGAATAAAGAAGGTAATCAATTTTTTTTTTTTTAAACATTCACAGAAATTGAAGATGTTGAAATTGTTCAGGAAGATGAGGATGTAATAGGAGAGAAAGTAGCTGATGAACTATTAAGGACATCATTCAGAAGAACTTTATCAGGGAGTCCACAAAAGAAAGTAAAGGATGTGAACTTAGTTGTTAGATCCAGTTTAAGAAAAGGAAAGAAAAAATCCAAGAAAGAAAAGGAAAATGAGGTTAGTGTTTCATTTGAGAGAATCTTAACTAATGTATTTCAGATGCATTAACTTTTTACTCATAAACTGAAATGAGATGAATGTGTTATATCAAGAGTTAACGTTCTACTTAAAGAAGAAGAATCAATGAAGTAAAAGGACTTCATTATGCTTTTCACAAGAATTTCACTTCTTATTTAAGAAGAAATTAAAAAATTTTTGTCTTCTTTAGTTATGGCATTAACTTATGTGTTTAGCATAGCAGGATGAGATTTTTTTTCCATTCATTTCATACTTCAAAAAATAATGAATTTTTTTTCATCTAGGCCTATATATATATTTTTTTTTTTATTTTTTTTTTTTAAATGTTCCTTCCAAGTAGAACAAGTTAAACCTTTTTTTCTTAAGCAAATTAGAAGGTTTATAGTTTATATTTTTATAATTTATTTATTTTCCATTCATTTCATACTTCAAAAAATAATGAATTTTTTTTCATCTAGGCCTATATATATATTTTTTTTTATTTTTTTTTTTTAAATGTTCCTTCCAAGTAGAACAAGTTAAACCTTTTTTGCTTAAGCAAATTAGAAGGTTTATAGTTTATATCTTTATAATTGATTTATCAGTAAAGAAAATGCCAATGAAAAAAAAGAGTGATTCAAGGAAGATATAGAAATCAATTTTTAAGATAAATAAATAAATAAATTTCAACATTAACTCATTGGTCTAATATATTAGGAAAATGCACAAGACTTAGAAGAAGCAGAGGCAGCAAGTATGAAGGAAATAATGAGATACAATGCTCCAGAATGGCCTCTTATTGTTTTTGGATGCTTTGGATCCATTATTGCTGGGGCTATCCATCCAGCATTTTCATTTCTTCTCAGTGAATTTATTAAGGTGAGACTAAAAATTAAATTAATTTTTTTTTTTTTAGTTTTTTTTCTGTGCAAATATCTTTCACATTTAAAAAAAATAGTTAAGAAAATCAATTTATAAATACGTTACCATGACCATGATCTGACATTGATGATTTTTATGATAATTATTATTTAAATTTACCATACACTTTTAGTATTAAGAAAAATAATTTTTGCATGATTTGTTAAAAATAGATTTTTGGTGTACATGATCATGATGAGCAGTGGTCTAGAACGCATGTCCTTGGTGGAATAGTTATCGGAGTTGCCTTTGTTTCAGCTGTTGTCCGAATGTTACAGGTAAATATTTTACAATTAAATACTGGCCTTGTCAATTTACTCAACCTATTTATAGTATTTAACTAAATAAGCATGCACAAGTATACAAATTACACCATTAGATAATCAATTGACTCAAATCAGGTTGCTGTAAATCCAGACTTTAAACTCAATATTCTCACAGGGCTATTGCTTTAGCAAATCTGGAGCGATCTTAACAGCTCGACTCCGAAAACTAACATTTTCCTCCATGATCAATCAGGTTAGTAGGACTATACTATAATACTAACTGCAATATTATGTTAAGAATTTAAAAAAAAAAAAAACTAAATTTTTAAGACTGTCACTATTTATGAGAAACAAAATTTTTTATACTAAGTTATATAACTGCATTTTAATGCTTTGTTATCAAGTAACAAGTGTATTAGATTTAAATCATTAATCATTTTCTGTTCAGGATATGGACTACTTTGATATGCCAAACAACCAGGTTGGAGCACTCACAACAAAGTTGGCTGGTGATGCAGCTATGGTGCAAGGGGTATGTTTAAAATATTAGTAGGGTCCATGCTAGCAATGCCCATTAAAACAATGTTGGTAAAAAAGTTTTGTTTGAGAATCAAATGTTCAGATAACTAGTGTTCATCGGTCATGTTGTGCAAGTCAAAAATTATAATAAAACGAATAGAGATGGCAGTCATTGTAAGAGCCCTAAGAAGCCCTGGCATCAGATCTGCTGTAGATACCCTGTGTGTCTTTTAACATAGGAAAAGTTCACATCACTATGAAATATTGGAAGTTAGATAGGGACTGTGACATAATTTTCACTCTATATCGTAGCAATTATTGTTATTAATCCATCCCTGAGGCGCTACTACCCATGAAGGGCTTTGGTCGGCCTAATCACTTCCTTCCTCTCAGACTTAAATGATGCATTTCATTTCCTTTGTAATTGAAAAAATATGTTAACAAAAACTTTTATTATTCATGCTATAATCCAAGTAACGGTTTTTAAAAAAATATTTTGTCACTTTACAATCCAATGTTATCTAATCTGATGGGCATATATAAAAATGAATTTATGTACAAAAATATATGAAATCTGTTCCATTAAAGGCCTGCTATATTTGTTCTATTTAAACAGTTGAAATATTCATCAATTTTTAGATCCCTAACAATATTATGTTACTTTCCTAGGCTACTGGATCTAAAATTGGTCAAATGCTTGAAGCGGCCTCCACTATTACCTGTGCTATTGTTATAGCCTTTGTCTATGGGTGGAAACTAGCCTTTGTTGTCATGTCATTCATGCCTCTAATGATTCTTGGTGGTGTTGTTCAAGGCCAAGTGATTGCAGGTGCATCTAAAAAAGACAAAAAGCAGTTACAGCAGGCTGGAAGAGTAGGTCACCTTTTTAAAATGTTAATGCTATAATTGTAATTAATTTATAAATTGTATGAGTTTTTAAATATATAAACATTTTATACAGAAGAAACCAGGTGTGTTGTTCATAAACTATAGTTCTTTATTGTATTACCACTATTAAAAATATTTTTTTGTCATCCCAATGGCTTTGAAACTGAGACCTCATTATATTTTTTCTAACTTAAAAAGTTATGAGTTATCACTCACAGAGTTGATTAAATATTTCTTATGCAAGTAATTTTTTTATTGCCAGATTTGTTCAGAGGTTGTAGATGCCATCCGAACAGTTCAGTCTTTGGGAAGAGAGGATCATTTTATTCAAACATTTGATGGCTTAATAGATTACACCAGATCGTAAGTTTTAATTTATTTAACCAAGTTCTAAATGTAGACGATCAATTAAAGGTCAAATTCAGAAAACTTGTTAAAAAATAATAATTCTGTTATTTTATACAATTTTCAATAAGAACTTTTGTTTCCAGATCCATGCGAAAAATGTCTCTAGTATTTGGGTGCACTTATGCAGTTGCCAACTGCCTCATCTTTTTTGCCTACGCTGTAGCTTTTTATTATGGCTCAGTCCTTGTCAACGATGGGGAGATGGAGTTTTTTGAAGTGTTCAGGTATGCTGATAAATATATAACTATCAATTTTGCTTGTTTTGTAAGGCAATTATTTTAGGAACATGCAGAAGTTATCTGTAAAAAAAATTAAAATGTAACCATAAACTTTGATAAGTTTCCTTATTGTTTAATTTCCCTAAAAATGTTAATTATTTTATCAATTATTGCTCTTTTTTTTTTCATTAAAAAGGACATTATAAGCCCAGTTTTTTTATTTTAAAACTTATTTTAAAATGTCAGATTTTGTACTATGTGCTTCATTTCTATTGTAGAGTGTTTGCTGCAATTATTTTTGGAGGTATGATGATTGGCCGCCAGTCTTCATTTGGAATTGACTACACTAAAGCCAAAGTTGCTGCTGGACGTATTTTAACTCTAATTAACAGAAAACCCAAAATTGATGTCAGAGAAAAAGATGGTTTGAAGCTAGTAAGCTGGTCTGTGTGTTGACCTTATTTTATTTTTTTAATATACTTAAACATCTTTATCGCCAGATTTTATATCTGAAAGATTTTAAAATGCTAGTAATATATGCTATAAACACAAAACTTGATATCAATAAAAGATCTTTGTTTTATGCAGATGCACATACAATAAAAGTTCATATAAGGGAGTTTTTATTGAAAATTAAATACCGGTATCTTTTTGTTTTTAATTTAATTTAAATTGTTGAATTTAAAACAAAGAAGCATTTAAATTCATTCTTTTTTAATTTACCCTCCAATTCGATTTAATTAGCCTTACATTTCACTGCTTTACAAGCTTCATTGTTTTTCTTTCCCCTCCCCACATTATCTTAATTCAAGCATTAAATTAAATCCTCAGTTGTTAAACAAATTTCAAAATAGAACCAATAAACAAAGTTAAATTATAATTATTAAGAGATGCTTTGCATTTAAAATTTACCTTTATGTCATGATAAGAAGAAATCTGTTGTCAATTTTCCTTTTTATTGCAAACAGCTTTACAGCTGTCACTGAATCATTTATTACATTTTTTAGGATGAATTTAAAGGGGGAATTACAATATCCAGTGCCACATACCACTACCCCAGCCGGCCTAATGCTAAAGTTCTTGACGGATTAAACCTAATTATAAATCCAGGAGAAACGGTAGCCCTTGTGGGTGCTAGTGGCTGTGGAAAAAGTACTACAACGCAACTTATAGAACGGTTTTATGATGTTGACTCTGGAGCATTGGTAAATATTTTTTTTATATTGATACTGAAATTTTTGTTTGCAACTAACTGATATATATTATGAATCTCATATGTGGCAATGTGCCACTATATAAGAGAATCCACTCTCATAGTGTCACTGCTATGGGTAACCCCAAGCACGTACACATCCATTATCCATGGTCATTCAACGTAACACTCAGCCGTGTACTGGCCTTAAATTTTATGTAGGTTATTTACACGCGGGAATAACCATCCCTGCTCTAGGGGGGGGGGGGGCGAACTGGGACTTGAGGTGTGTACATTTTTGAGATTGTGGTGTGGAACGGATGCGTCGGGTCGGCGGCAGGTGTGAGAGATTTTCCTGTCGGCTCTGTCAACGGATTCTACCTTACATTAAACAGCTATAGTTCTCAGACCTGATTGTTTTATTGTGATTTCATTTAAACTGTAAGCTACGTCATCCACTCGGCTACACATATTTGCTTGATAATAAATAGAAACAAGAATGTGAAGACTGTTTTTTAATTAATTTTCTTTTTAATGTGAAATTAATTAGAGAACTTAAATAATAAAAAAACACAATGAAAAATAAACATGAACAAAAAATTATTTAAATAACTATTTATTAGGCTAAATCCTTTTAGGCTTTGATAGAATATTTAAATAATATATCTTAATTTTTCCTGAAAGAAAATGAGCTGAACATGAATTATTTGATTTAAAACTTTTTTTTACACATTGATAAATTGTTCTCCTTTTGCAGATTGTGGATGGTAAGGATCTTCGTAGCCTTAACCTTGAGTGGTATAGAAAGCAGTTGGGTATTGTTTCCCAAGAACCAACTTTATTTGACTGTAGCATAGCTGAAAATATTGCCTATGGTGATAACTCTAGGGTTGTTCCAATGGCAGAAATTATACAAGCAGCCAAAGATGCTAACATCCACACTTTTATTTCAAACCTGCCTCAGGTAAGAAAAGTTCATAACTTAATTCAATTTGCAGGAACCAAGTTAACTTACAAAGATTACTTAAATTGTGAAGCCTTTATTTAATAATCAAAAGTTCAAATCAGTCCATAAAATGTCCAGCCATTATTTTCATCCCAGCACTCTATCTCCCTTCTGAAAAGGCCAACTTGAAAAATCAACTATGAGGGGAAACCTCAGAAAAAACTTGATTGTTATTAAGTATTTAAGCCCAAGTCCCATGATTTTGCATCTAGCACCAGCTATTTCCCTCTATATGATAATCACTACGACTCATGCACATGTTTCAAAAAAATATCCTAGCCATGATGCCTGCCAGTAATACAAAAAAGTATGCTCTTGGGTTTTTGGGGGACACTGCTCAGAAAGATCACTTGATAAAGGCAGACCCAGGTCTAGCTGTACATCACTTGATAAAGGCAGATCCAGGTCTAGCTGTACAAAAAAATTGTTAACAAATTTTTAAAAATACTTTTGTTCTCAAGTTCAATCACGTCAGCAAACAAAGAACAACCAGGTACATTTTTAATGTATTTTTTAATACAGCCTCTTATATAAAATCAGTTGTTTTTTTGTTTTGTTTTTGTACAGGGATATGACACCAGTGTAGGTGAAAAGGGGGCACAACTTAGTGGTGGACAAAAACAAAGGATAGCCATTGCCAGAGCTCTTGTAAGAAAACCTAAAATACTCTTACTGGATGAAGCAACATCAGCATTAGATTCTGAGAGTGAAAAGGTAAGACTTAGATTTATGAAAACTGATCAATTTTGCATAGTTTCCATCTCATGTAAAAACCTAAATTAAACAAACACAAATGCTTTTATTTATTAGGATATGTTGTTTGTCCTTTACATGCAAAGATGACCAAGGCTATATTACATGGTTAGCAGGCTGGTGACATGCCAGCACCATCTGCACCTGAAAACCTTTCCCGCGTGTGGGACACACCTTTTTATCATGCCCTAGTAGGATTTGAGTTGATTTTGCATTTTCTTGCCATGTCCATAAATTTAAATGAAGCTTTTCAGACAGTCCTTGAAGCATATTTTCTGCCTACCAACTGAGCTCTTCCGACTGGAGGGTTCACCAAACAGTCATTTTCGGAATTCAGCTGTCTGGAATTCTTGCAACATACCCTGCCCATCTGGTTTGTCCTTTTTTGTAGGAGCATTTTGATGCTATACAATCAATGCGTTGTAGGACCTCTGTATCAGGGACTCTCTCCTGCCATCTTATGCAATTGAGTTTATGTAGGCAGCATAGGTTGAGAGAGGATTAGCTGTCAATCATGTCTGCTGTACACTGTCCACATCTTGCTAGCTTATAGGAGAGATGTTAAGATGATTGCTCTATATACCTTCAGCATAATGGCAAGACTGAGAGTACTGAGACCTCTTTGCTCCTACACACTCCTGCGTAGCCTTCCAGATGCAACATTTGCTTTGAAAATTTGTTTATTGATCTCATCTACTGTTGCTGACTTGGAGAGGGTGCTGCCTAAATATGTGAATTTTTCTAATGCTTGGAGAATTGATCCATTCACTGATATTTAGGTCCTTTGTAAGTGTTCCATGGAGCTGGCTGGTACAAAATCTTCTTTTTTTTTCGTATTGATGGTGAGGCTGTAATTTTTCATAGGCTTTAGTAAAGTGATCAAGTATTTGCTGCATTTTCAGTATCAAACTTGCATTTTGGGCAATCATCAGCAAACTGGAGGTCTCAAAATATTGTTTCTTAAATTTTCTTAATTTGAGTTTTTAGTACACCTATTTTTATTATACGTCTTGTGCCCAGAAACAAAAAAATTAATAGAAAATAATTTTTTTTAAAGGAGAAAATGTAGCCCATTGTTGATATTAACATGGTTTTAAAGAGTTAACTAGTGTTATTTTTTTACCCAAGTGAATTTGTTTGCTATGTTTGTTAAGTTCCTGATGACCTAATAAAAAAGCTTATGTGTTTGTTTAAATTATTTGAGTTTTCAGTCATATCAGTCATACCAAAACATTTTGAAAAACAAATTTCCCATTTAAAATTCTGGCAGCTCAGTGCTCACAACTACATAGGATATGAACAACTTTAGGTTTTTAATGTTTTGATTTATTATTTTAACCTAAAACATAACTTTTAAAAATAAGCAAATGAGTAATAACAGAGGCATTACATTGAAAAGTATACAAAATCCTTTGTGCTTTTGAATATATTTTTAAAAAATTATAAATTTACATCTTCTTAGCATTCTAAGACATAAACTTAAGTAACTTCCTGTCATATTTATTTACAGTTAGACTATTTGTTGTTTCATTTACATCTCAAGGCATATTAGTTCTCTCATTATAAAAATTTAATAGATTGTCCAAGAAGCCCTAGACAAGGCTAGTCAAGATAGGACATGCATTACCATTGCTCACAGATTATCGACCATTCAAAATGCAGACAAAATAGCTGTGTTCAGCAAGGGAAAAGTGGTGGAAATAGGAACCCACCAACACCTTGTCACAATAAAGGGAGCTTATTACAGATTATTAATGGCACAAAACAGGCCACACAAATAATATATTAGTATGTATTTTTTTTAGTTCTGAATGCCAAAATTTTGCTTTGAATTTTTTGTTGGAATATTTCTTATATATGTCTAGCCCAGTGGTTTGCAACCTTTGTTTTCATTCGCTGAAACTGTCAACTAAAGTTAACACCTAACATGCATTTGGTGGGGAGCAAGGTGCAAGAGAATGGCTATTTTTGTATGTGACTATATTACTGGTCCAAATCAAATTCTTCATTGTTAAAATTGACTTTTACTCCTTTCAATCCAAATCTTGTGACACATGTGAACCTGAAATGACCCTCCAGTATGTTGCTAGGGTGCAGACCTCTGGTATAGCTTCATGCCAGTAATATCTTATTGTTGTATGAGTAATTCTATGGAAATTGACATGTGTACAAAATTGAGATCCATAGAATTGTAAATATTTTGATTTTTTTTTCATTTATTAACATAAAATAAACATTCTTTTAAAACTGTATAAAATAAAAACATAATTTATTTTTCATTTAAATTCAATGTTTGATTATGATTTTATTATTTGCTTAGTCTATCTGCTACATGAATCTCCATTGACATATCCGGTTAAATGTAATATATATTGTAAATATGTGATAAGTTATTTTAAGATGTATGAAACCATTTGTTGTTATGTTTTGCAATTAAATATATGACTAAAAAATGTTAACTTTTAGGAGTTTGTTATTAATTATTGGTTACTTCATTTTAAGTTTTGAAATTATGCTTCCCTCTGCTCTATTTCATTAGAATTTATTCAATTTAATATAATACATATATAGGTAGTAACCCTAATCTAAAGGGATAAAATTCGGCACTGGATTAGACTTTGAGCTGTAGAGGGCTTTGTAGCAGTGGCCCACTTGAGTCCCTCTATTAGACTGTCATTTTACTTGGGGATGGCAGGTGTCAAGTTCTACCTAAAACTTTTGAAAGCTTTGTCCAAGATGTTATTTCCACCTTAACCCACATATTTGGGTTTTAGGGCAGTGGTACTGGGTGGCAGTGGTCTAAACTGAGTCAATCACAAGCTTGTGGACTGGTGTTCAATCCCTAGAAAAAGCTGAGACAAGCAAAAGAAAACCTTCCCCTCCCCGCCAATGGCAATTCATCTAAGAGAAGGCTTACTCTGTTATCAAACCCGGAGATGGAGTAAGGATGAGAGAATGACACTGACGATTGAGTAACTCTCCCTCACTTTAAACAAAATACAAGTCAAGGCTACTACTCAAGTTTGAAGTCTCGGTCATCTTCGCATGTGAAGGAGGAATTGTGTATATATATATACTAGGTGGGCAAGCAGCACTACAGGTAGGCCATTCAAAGCACAGGTTATCAATTTACAATTGGGAAGATTGCTTCAACACTAATTTTATCCAATCCCCCATTCCCGCTCGCTGAACAACAAACAAATCTTTCAATTTATAAAACTAGTTTTTTGGATCCTGTTCAATGTTTGTGAAGCTGTTGTTTTTTTTTTAATGCAATCTTTTTTAACTTCATGTTAAGTAAACAAAAAAAATGTACTTATAATTTTTTATCTTGCTAAGAAAATGACAACAGTAGGGAAATTTCAATCAATGTTCTCAACTTCACATCAAATGAATATTTTTAGAAAAGAACTTTTCACCCTCAATTACTTTTTATTTTACGCTCCAATTCAGCAAAGGCATCGTGAGATAGTTTGTGTACCATAAATGGAAACTCTCAATCCATTGGTTTAATAATTATTTTTATTGTCAAGGAAATCTAAAGGCTACGTGGCATCATCATGTTCAAAGTGTTAATGATAATATTTATGATTGTATGTTTATCATTATTTATAATTACTTTTTTATAATTTACTATCAAAACTGCAATTTGTTGCAATATTGTTGTAAATGAAAGAATTAAAATTCTTCAATTAAATTATGTAAATTCTTAATTTTTCATTTTTTTTTTTTTTTCTATTTAAGTTATCAAAAGTTATCATAGCAGTGAAAACATTCATGCAAGTAAAATAAATAAGAATAATTATACAAATTTGAAAGATTAAATTATTATTTTTTTTTTTAATCTAATGAATGCAAATGCAAGCATTCAAGACACAGAAATGGTGGCTGTGAAATAGAGACTAAATCGTAGATAGCACAGTCCTCTTAAAAGTGAAGAAAGGTTTTGTGCGTTTTTTTAAAAATCCGTTTACAGGTTTGGATTGTTCAGACAGTTCTGCATGGTGAGTCTATTATGAATTCTCCAACAAAAATCAAAACTTCTTGCATTGCCTGCCAAGACAAAGGTCTTTCGGGCAACAACCCTAAACGTCAAATCTTTTGTTGGCCTCTGGACGCATTACTTTCAACAGGTCATTCTTTCAAGCACTGGCTCAATGTCTTCGGCCAACAAGGGTTAATAATAGGTCGACAACATCTTTTCATGTTTTTGGCTAGAGACGACCAACACCCCCCCCCCCCCCCTCGATAGCGCGCTATAGGCGTTCCTTGAAGAAATTCCAGCAGAACAATCATAATTATGAATGGGCTTCTAGTTAGTTGATCAATGTTTAGGCTTGCAAATGAAAGACAAGAAAATTAAGCTCAAATATGTGCAACATGGCTGACACATTCACGCTTTTTCTCAGTTCATCGATGTCTTTTATAGTGTTGTAATAGGTCTACTCGTAATCTGGATGCCTTACTCGTGAACTGGACGCCCTACTCGTGATCTTGACGCCCTTCTCGTGAACTGGACGCCTTACTCGTGAACTGGACGCCCTACTCGTGATCTGGACGCCCTTCTCGTGAACTGGACGCCCTACTCGTGATCTGGACGCCCTTCTCGTGAACTGGACGCCCTACTCGTGAACTGGACGCCCTACACGGGCCTCCACCTGAACTGGACGTTGTGTTTATCCAAAAGTGCCCAGATCTTCATTGCAGCCTGCAGCTCTACCCTCCCACTTGAGCCATGATGATGTATTTTACAAGTAGTATTTGGACATGAAATAAAAGTCCACTACCCTTCCAGTTTTTTTCTTTATAATACAAACCATAAGACATTAGTCTATCATGATCCACAATATGATACATCATTTTTTAGCAGCGTCTGTCCTCCTTTTCAAGTTAGACATGGCTAACAATAAGGACACTTTCAGCCAGTAACTGTTTTGACAAAGAAACTGACCGTTGCTACTATTGAAACAGATTAAACACACCAAAGAATTCGTGTTGCTGTAGGAACCTAAAGCGTGGTCATCCTTGCCTGTGACAAAAATGGCGCGACTGCCTGTAGACTTACAGTAGTATAACTTGAGTTCACGTCCGACCTTCCACAACCTAAGTCATTAACCAATATGATGTAAAAACTACTCACGTAACTAATGGAAACGGAACAACACTACCAACGTCACGCTATTTTGGCAAAATTTTTACCACCATCCCACATTTTTTTTTAAATCGTCACTTAGTTGCAATATTTGTAAGCACTTTTTTTTAAATCATAGTCATACTTTCGTGGAACCCATCCCACTCTCCAACGAGCGAGTGGTTTATTGTCACCTGTACTGCGGGCTGAATCACTTATCTAATTATGAATGGTACTAAAAAAAATAAAGTATCTTTTTTTCTACCAATTTGCACGCATGCATTTCAGTTATGACTTAAAATTACTGACCTGAAATGCCCTTAGCTTATCTTACTGTACGGTACATCAGAACTGAAATGCCCCTCGCTTATCTCACTGTATGGTACTTCAAATGGTCCAAGTTTTAAAATTATTGTAACGATATTGAAAATTTGATTTTTTTTTTTTTTTAAAAACACATCTCCGCTGACAAATTATCTTCCATTTTCATCTGCAAATTGGTTAAGGCGAGCGCTCATTGATTCCCTTTGAGTTCAGTCTTAGAGTTAGAACCATGTGATTAAGGTTTCTCAAACGACATCCCGTTCAATTTTTTTAATTTCCCGGGACATGGTCCCATCCCGGGAAATGCTCCCATCCCGGGAAATTCAATCCGGGGAGGGAAATCGTGCTCAAGTACACACATTTAGATTATAAATGTCCTTTTATTTTTTGTTTTAAATTGGTTCGTCATGTGAACTCTCGTTAACAGCCCGGTCTATTAAAGCTCAGTAGTTCTAGTAGAGTACGCAGGTTCTCTGGTGTTTTCAAGTCATGACTACGTGTACATTAACGTTTATTAGCAGCAATGTATTGCGCGAGACGGCGATACATTGGGGGGGAAAAGGCCTTTTTAAATTGACAAATTTTGATAAATCGCATCAAAATTAGATTGTCAGTTTAAAAAATTTTTAATTAACGAAACATTTAATGCAGGAATTTAAATTTCAACCCAAACTTTAATATGCCAATTGTTTTTTTTTTTTTTTAATTTTTAAAAAATCACTATTTGTCTTGTTTAATAATTGTTTCCAACGACCACCCTACAGAAATCTCTGCGGAACTTCATTCGAGTCCATACCCCCATGCGGTGGGAAACCGTGCTCAAGTAACTTGATTATACCATTCTGTTATGAGCCAAACTACCTTTACATCTTGTTTTTTTTTTTAATTTATTTATTTATTTGTTAATAATTTATATTAACTTCGCTTTTTTTTTTTTTTCTTTTTTTTTTGGTTGGCAAAAATCAACCTTTCGAGTTTACACTTGGTTGGCCAAAAGACCCGCAAGTGCGTATACCATTCTGTTATGAGCCAAACTACCTTTACATCTTGTTTTTTTTTTTAATTTATTTATTTATTTGTTAATAATTTATATTAACTTCGCTTTTTTTTTTTTTTCGTATGTTTCTGGCTGGCAAAAATCAACCTATCGAGCTGACACTTGGCTGGCCAAAAGACCCGCAAGTGCGTTCGGTGCGTGATATTTTCTTTTGTTTTCCTGAAATAGTTGGTGAAATAGTTGGTGAAATAGTTGGTGAAATAGTTGGTGAAATAGTTGGTGAAATAGTTGGTGAAATAGTGGGTGAAATAAATCTGCAGCGTTGAAGCGGGTGGGACATTGGAATATTAATATCAAATAATAAAATATGCATGTCAAGGATTTTTAAGAAAAGCGGTGTTTTTGTGGGTGATTAAATTACTTTCTAAATCAACTTAGCAATTCACATACATATAAATAGATGTATATTGTTTTATTATTATTAGATTTAAATTCGAACTAAGCCTCATATGTCAGAAAGATATTCATGCAAATATTGCATGACGCATTTGAAACTAGAATGTGCAACTCGTTAAGAAAAAGAAATTTTAAAATGCACTGTCAAGATTTTTCTACAGGGTGGTATAACAGACTTTAGCTTACTAATCATAACATTAGCTAGTTATCTATTTCTAATGAAAAGATGTAAAGTCATGGCAGAAACCTATAATGTCATGCCAAGACAGAAACATTAGATGTCATGCGATGACAGACAAATATAATTTTTTTACTCATAACACGGGCCTTTTTTGGTTAGACATCAATATGAGTTTCAGATTCAGTATGGATGGCGTTTAGGACCATACATAACAGATACGTTTTCAAGAGCTTATCACTAGCAGACGTATCCTGGTGAATCTCGACATGGGCCATTCAGGCACGACATAGCTTGCCATTAAGTAGGCATAGAAGTAAGTGCGTGATTTACATAAATAAAACATTTTTAACCTCTGAGGCAGCCACACTTCCAGGTTGATTGCATAAGGATATTATATGATTGTTGGTTGTCTATTGTAGTTGCTAGTGGTTTATTATAGTTGCTGTTTGTCTGATATAGTTGCTGTTTGTCTGATATAGTTGCTGTTTGTCTGATATAGTTGATTTTTGTCTGATATAGTTGCTGCTGTCTAATATATTTACTAGTTGTCTAATTGAGTTGCTAATTGTCTGATATAGTTGTTGTTTGTCTAATATAGTTACTAGTTGTCGGATATAGTAGCTAGTTGTCGGATATATTTGCTAGTGGTCTAATAGAGCTGCAATTTGTCTAATATAGTTGCTACTTGTCTGGCATGATGTGGCTGCTAGTTGTCTCAATGTTTCCCAAGAAGTGGATTAATGGTTCAGCACTCAGTTGCTTTTTTTAAAATATGAAGCTTTTTTTCTCTTTTTTTTTTTTTAGTTTAGCCGTGTGACGTCAGAGACATTTACTATTATTTAGCCCTTTAAAGGGCAGGCATCTTCTCCGTTTTAGAGTCATTTGTTTGACTGACATTGTCGGGGTTTCAGCCATGACAGATGGGAGAGATAACAATGGTACGGCAAACTTCGATCTTGAAACTGATCCTGCGATACAGCTGCATCCACTGCTGACAAGCGAGCATGCGGATGGTAACAAGACAGGGCAGAAATTACAAGGGGATCAAATAGTTATCGAACTTGAAGAGAAGAAACCTCTGATATACCGAGTCAATGAATCGCCTCCTGTGCACCTGCTTTTGTTGTTCGCATTCCAGGTAAGTAGAAGGCCCAGGAAGGGGGACAAATACTACACTATTCTATAACGGGGAAAGGAAGGGCTGACTACTTAGGCTACTATTCAGTGTCGGCCTTAGAAAGCATCTTTGTTACAGGAAATCCGAAAAATGCCCCCCCCCCTTTTTTTTTTCTTTCTTTAAAAAATCATAAATGGTGATCATTCATCCATGGTTCAAGCTTCCACATATCTTGCTCTATTATTTCATTCACAAAGCTTAAACGCAATCCTTCATTCATTATCATTTATCTATGGATTATAGTCACACAGCGGGGTATATAAGGGAACAGTTTTTCAAAACACGGGTAGTAGAGTTAGAGATT